TTGTTTTAAATATATTATGAATTGTCAAAATTTATTAATTTTTAAACATGTAATTTTTCTTCATTTTACATTTTTCAATTGGTTTATCAGCTAGTTTTTATTAAACGTAATTAGTTTATGAGCTATCAACTAATTTATCAACCATCAATTGACCTGTTAATTAGTTTGCCAAACATAATATTAATTAATCATTTGACGTTCGGGGTCCATTCAAGGAAGAATTATTTAGTTTGTGATAACTGTGAGATCCAATTTCAACCATAAATTAATGGATAAATTAGAAAACTAATATTTTTGGTAATTTGACTTATAATTATAATTAAAAAGTATTTTAGGTATTTTAAATTTTTTATCTCTTCCCTCTCTCTCTCTTTCCCACCTCCGGCCTCCAACGAAAACCATGTGATACCCAAAATACACCAAAATACACAATGTAATACCCAAAACACACAAGGTAAACTTTTTAGACCACTATGATACCAATTGTGCAATTATGGTACCACTGTGATACCAACTGTGGTACCACTGTCGTAGGTGGATGTTTAGCAGTTGATCATCGGATACAGCGTGTTGGTCAGACAAGATGATCGGAGGAGGTCATTGGAATGGTGGTGGGTGCCGGAGAAGGCCACCGGATTTGGTCCTTATGTGTCCGTGTGTGTGTATATACATATATTAAAATAATTAAACTAATTGAACTAATTAAAGTAAATTGGAATATTAAACTAATTAAAATAAGTTGAATAATCAACACAATTTACTAATTTATCTTTTGGTTTATTTTAGTAAAATAACATTAATTATCTAAAATAATTGGTTTATATTAGACCTCACAGTTACCCCAAACTATTTAGTTCTCATTTGATTATGCCTCTTTAACGTTTTAACGTAATTTTTCTAATTTGTTGTATTAAAATCCGTTCATTAAAATAGAATACAAACAAATTAAGAAGTTGAAATGGTGTCTTTTCGAAAAGTAAAAACTGAAAAAGTTGACTGTCTAGAAACAACTTATGCAAATCTTGTCAATATGTCTACCATGTGCATGTGGAGATGCGTCATGAGGGTTGCATTTCTTTTGGCCCTTAATATCAACATTTACGCATCTATTTTATGTTATTAGAAGCGTACTCGTGCAATGCAGTGAGATATATCGTGTTTTTAATATTTCATTTTATTCTTTATCTCAATCGATTTTATAATATGACTTTATGTGATTTTGAGAAAACGATGATTTTTTTATTTTTGAATAAAATATATGTTTGACGATATCATAAAAATTTGACAAAAATATATCGATATTAGTATCAAATTAACTATTTGAAATTCCTCATTTTTTTGTGTAATTTTTTAATCCA